TCGAACGCTCGTCAGATCACACTGGGATTCGCGACTTGCAATCGTTGTTAAACGCGCGAAAATTATAAAAAAAGTGATTGCTCGTAAGAATATTTAGGAGATATTTCACATTTTCGATGAGTGTGATGCGTGAATCATGTGAGTCAAAAAATTCGACACTAATAACGTACTGATATGTTAATTCGCGGCCGTTCTCATGGATCGTGGACCTTTGATCGAGAAAGTATAACGAATGTATAACGAAAATTCTTGTGCACGTGCGCTCAACTGTATTTATGTGTTTTTTTTTATATTATAATCTTTATAATTGTAAAAGATAATTACACAATTATATAAATTATAATTTGTGATTTACGATGAATGTGAACGAGAATTGGGATCGGTGAGTTTCTTTATATTATAGTTTGCATTTTATTTTCTTTTACATTAAAAAATTTTTTTTTTACATTTATTTATCAATAAAAAATTAAATGTGTGACACACAATTGATTTAACATTTTGCAAGAATTTATTCACATCTGTACATTTTACTATATATTGATGTAAAAAAAACCTATAAATACATTTAAAGAAACAATTCAATCATTAATCAATTTTTTTTAGTTTAAATTATTTTATTAATTAGAACCTTATATTTTTTAATTATATGTTAATAATTGCTGTTAAAATAATTCAACGGTATATTTATAATAATAAGGAAATCAAATTCATATTAACTTATTATTTATAATGAAAAAAAAAGAAGTTAAAGCAAGTTTTTTTATTACTTTGCATATAAAAATGTGATATTATGAAAAGCCTATAATTTACAAGATATTATTTTATACCGTACATCATATATCATGTTTTAAATTTAGACTATAATATACTATAATAATATAATAATATACTAAGCCAGATTATATGTATATATCTATATCCGCAATATTTTTTTTAGTTATCCATTGAGCAAAATGTCTAAAATTGACGTGTAAGACAACTTTAAGGTATCTTTTAAGAAATCTTCAAAATATTTCACAAAGATTAGAAAGATATCTTAAATTTGTCTTTTACATCAATTTTATCTATTTATTCGGCAATGTTTAATTAATATCTCGTTAACCATTGCGAAAATTGCAAAATGGTAGAGGACTTTTCTCAGCTTTTTATTAGGAATAGCACTGATTAGTAAGCATTATTTCAAAAACACTCTATATTTAAATCAAAACAAATATACACAGAATATTTTAGCAAAATTCACTTTATAATGATCTCATTTTTATAATTTTACTAATAAATTAAAAACAATGTATATATTTTTATTCTAAAAAAAAATGGAAAAACTCTCAGACGTGATTCTATCTAGAAAATATGTTGTTCATCAAGATTCTTTTCGAAACCAAGCAATTTTCATTTGATAAAATAATTTTTTTCAAGAGATCTTTTATTTTCCAAATATTTAGATATAATTTTAAGTGGGATATTGCGCGTAGTAAATAGAACTCTTGGCAAGATATCGGTATAAATTGTATTTGAATTGCAAAAAGAAGTAAACGCTCTTTCTGATTTTATAGAAAGCGGAAAACAGAACTGAAAAGCATTGCGAAATGTAAAGATTCCGCGGAGCGCTGGCCAGAGCGCTCCGGTGAATGTAATAATGATCTCCGTCAAGCCCTCGAAACACACACACACACACACACACACGCGCGCGCGCACGCACGCACGCTCTGAGAAATGCCTTACAGCTTTAAGAACAGTCCGTTACGTATGTTTATTCACGAGTACCAGAAGTGGAAGACTTAAGTGGAAGACTAGAACGATCACTATATATTTTAGATATAATCAACATTTGCGATTATAATTTCTTAATTTACATCGATGTTTTCAGTTTATGAAAATAAATGTATATTGAAACCCCGTAATTAGAATATACGTGTGTATAGCTCATAGTTAAAATTTTTTAAATATTTTTTATATACTTTATTTGTACAATAAATGGATTTTGAAAAATTTATGTGCGTATACTGTGGATATAATATACTCATATATTTTATCTAAATTTAACTATCTAAATTTAATGATTTCAATTAACAAAATACGTAATAAGCGATGAGGATCATTCTGTTTCTCTAATTTCAAATTTAAAGTTTCTATTTATCGGATTTTGTAAATGAATTTAAAGATCTGAAAGTTATAATATTTCACAAATGGATCTAATCATCAAAATTAGAAATCCTAATTTAACGCAACAATTTTTGTATGATTATAATAATTTTTGTGAGATTGCAAATTAATCTTCATATCAATCGATATTTTTCTGCATATATATGAGCAAATAAATTTTATAAATTTCAAATAATGATCTGTCACATATCACTTATTATCTCGCCGAACAGAAAGCTGTTTAAGATAGTTGAATTATCATGAATAAATATCATAACGTTTTTAATAAATATATATTATAAAAATTATAAATATATAATTATAA